TTAGTCTCTTGACAGGTCACATTTAAAACTACAAAGAAAATTTACCTTGCGCTTGCACTCCTCACTAAGCATCTGTAAATCAAGTATTAAAATATACCACATGTGTTCCGGTAACATTTCTATATACATTTCTATATACAATGTAGATATATATAATTGTCATACAGAGGGTGGAAACTCTGGCTCTGGTAACTCGCTGTGCACTGCTCTCTTCTCTTGGCTCTCTTTGTATGCCTCCATTGCTCTAGACACCCTGTAATAAGTCAGTCAAGAAACCGTCACACTGCACAAAACCTAGTGGCATTATGGCTAATGGTTAACATCCTCAGCGGGATCATTCTCCAATATTTATGGGTTATCATTAAGATACTGACAAAGAACTTCAATAAATGAAATGAAAACATACAATATCAAATGTTGTTTCTCCTGTTGCACTTTGCTTCTTCTGTGCTTCAGCAGCTTCTTGTCCACCGCGATCGTCTCTGCGATTGCCCTGGCTGCTGCGATCTGAGTGGGTTCAATCGGAGGCAGAACTGGAAAGTTTGTCATGCCCTTCGACGTACTGGCTTTGGAAACTCCGGGAGAGGTAGCCATCTCTGGCAACAAGCCTCTTAAACGAATCAGAAGCAAAAACAGACTGAGGCTAGGTTATAACTATTTTAAATTTACGTTAACGTTAACGTTTGGTTAACGTCTTGCTAATCTAGCTTTGGTTATAATGCTACTGTACCTTTCGACAAGCTAACATCCTCAGTGGGATCATTCTCCAATATTTATGGGTTATCATTAAGATACTGACAAAGAACTTCAATAAATGAAATGAAAACATACAATATCAAATGTTGTTTCTCCTGTTGCACTTTGCTTCTTCTGTGCTTCAGCAGCTTCTTGTCCACCGCGATCGTCTCTGCGATTGCCCTGGCTGCTGCGATCTGAGTGGGTTCAATCGGAGGCAGAACTGGAAAGTTTGTCATGCCCTTCGACGTACTGGCTTTGGAAACTCCGGGAGAGGTAGCCATCTCTGGCAACAAGCCTCTTAAACGAATCAGAAGCAAAAACAGACTGAGGCTAGGTTATAACTATTTTAAATTTACGTTAACGTTAACGTTTGGTTAACGTCTTGTTAATCTAGCTTTGGTTATAATGCTACTGTACCTTTCGACAAGCTAACATTATGCCGCAGAAGTAATGTAAAAAGTTAATTGCACCGAATAATATAAGGATTTAAGGATCATTTTACCTGTTCGTTCATTCAATATATCCTCACTTTGGTTACAGCCGATAGCAAAACTTGTGTCAGTTTAACCAGCGTTGGCATCTGAAAGGATAGGGCTGTTTCCATAGAAACACTAAATAGACTTGCCATTGGACGGAGGCGGGGCTGCCATTCCTTCCTGTTGCTAACATGGTTGCTAGTAGGCTACCTTTCAAATGAAAATATTGTTTGCTACTGTAATGAAAGTACTAAAATGTTTCGCTTATATAAACCTAAAATAATCCATTAAAAGCACAAGTCACTCATTCATGTACAGTACGTACTGTATAATCAGGAAAATGTAGCCTACTTAAGATTTCCAAGGTACAATTGTTTATTGGAGAAAAGTATAATGTGTAAGCAGCTTTTTACTATTGCAGCTGCTGGAGTTTGATCTAGTTCTCACTAAATTATACATAACTGCATCTAAAGATACTAATGATAATTTAAGTGATTTATTAATCAGCAGATCAAATTAACAAAGTGCTGTCCATATCAAAATATCTCAATTATGAGCCCAAAGCAACACACTGACAATGTTTCTTTTGTTTCATAAATAGTCTGAACCTCAGAATTATTAAAATAATGTTAAATCATTTTTTCTATTTTTCAAAGGAAAAGCAGGAGTTTCTCACATTTGACAAGGTGGAACCATGAAATGTTTGGCATTTTACATAAAGAATTACTTAAATGGGCCAATTGTCAGTTTGTAATACATTTTCTGTCAATCAATTTCTTGTTTCTTTCAAAAAAGCTGATCTATCCTAATAATTTTAGCCACAAAATCTAAATTTGGTGCAGTAAAAAGTACAGTATTTCCCTCTGAAATTTAGTGCAGTATAAAGTGGCATGAAAAGAAAATATTCAAGTGAAGCTACCTCAAATATACAGTATAATAGGCTGTACATAAGTAAATATTTACTTTACTGCCTTGATTTGCTCTTAGAGAAACGCATGTAGTCCGATGTAGGCCTGTTAATAAAATCTTTATTATGTGTTAAATAGCATATTATATGACTCATTGCTACAATACTAATTATATTTATATTATTCCCTATCAGATATCATCAAACAACACACTAAAAACCTCGATACTTATAGTTTTTCTTTAAAATGTTTAACGATTAGTAGAATAACAAACGTATACCTAACGTTTTGGAAGCGTTTTTTCAGGGTTCTACACAATGTGTGATCATACTTTACAGCTCCAGATCTCATGTACTCACGCAATGATTTTAATTAAACGTAGGGGGCAGCAGTACGTGCGTAGCTTGTAGTTTACGCTACTAGACATTTCACAAGAGGAAGGGGGAGGAGAAGAAGCCTTCCCCCGACTTCCGCTAGCAAGCTAGCTACTGGGAGGTAGTGAGAAATCTTTCAGGTAATGTGAGTTAAGCAGCCATTACATTTTCATGGGCGTGTTGATGTGCATTGAAAGAATACGGTAAACAGAATGATGATTGTGTTGTTCTGGTGTGTATTTGAGATAAGTGAATAGAAAGGCGGAAGTGCATTTGTTTTGATTCGCGTTGACGAAAATCAGGCTTAATGTTTTCTTCATCGAAGGCCAAAACTGCTGTAATTTAGGATTTCCGGCGTTGTGTCGAGAGCTGTTCCCCCGTGGAGATGCGTTTCCCCTAACCTGAACCCTGACCTTATCCGAACCATAACCACAGAGGGGTGCGCTTCTAGAAACTCAGTTTTAAAAGGGGGGAACAGATTTCAACACAAGACTGGTGCCATGTTGCTGTCAAACAGAAAAACAGTTATAACATTATATAATTGTTCTTGGCATGAGGTGTGCTTATGAAATGTCATTTTGTCAACTCACAACCGAATTATATATGTGTATAACTGTACTCCTTTAGGATATTATCATTATGAGTTATGCAGAGAAGGCGGAGGACATAACAAGGGAAGAGTGGATGGATAAACTCAACAATGTCCACATTCAGAGAACAGATATGAACAGGCTCATTATGAACTACCTGGTGACAGGTAAAGTACCTTTTTTCTTTTCTTATTTCTCTGAGTTTGATTTTAATTGTTGACAAGTGTGGTGCTTGAATGTGCAGGATTTGTCCATGGTTTCTGTTCAACAGAGGGCTTCAAGGAGGCAGCGGAGAAGTTCCGGATGGAGTCTGGAATTGAGCCTAGTGTGGATTTGGATTCCCTAGATGAAAGAATTAAGATCAGAGAGATGATCCTGAAGGGGCAGATCCAGGATGCCATTGCATTGATTAACAGTCTACACCCAGAGCTGCTGGATACAAACCGTTACCTCTACTTTTACCTACAGGTAAAATAAAACACAGTGCCTGTCACTTATCAGACATCTAGGCTTTGCACTGTTAGCAATATAATCAATATAGTTTGTACTGCCTGTCTTCCTGTGTGTGTTATTTTCATTCCCTGTTACACCTTCTGGCCTTTTCTATTTGCAGCAGCAGCACCTGATTGAGCTGATCCATTTGAGGGAAACTATAGCTGCCCTTGAATTTGCTCATTCTCAGTTAGCAGAGCATGGGGAAGAGAGCTGAGAGTGTTTGACAGAAATGGAAAGGACACCGGCATTGCTGGCATTTGACAACCCTGAGGATTCGCCTTTTGGAGACCTGCTCAATATGATGCAGAGACAGAAGGTAGGGTGAATATTTCACTAACATCTCACAAAGAACAGATTAGTTTAAACTCATTCTCTTTGTATGTGTTAAATAGTTTTGTTTCTTATTTCAGTTTGTTTCTGTTGTGGTACACAGGTCTCTCTTGCAAAAT